TAAGCAACTTTGAAACTCCTCCTGCTGAGTACATATTCTGAAGATCTCCAACGTTACCTCGTAGTTTTCTCAAAAGAGAGTTGAAAGTTATTTTTACATCTTTAAAGCACTTACCTGGAGAAAGCAACCAGTCGTTGCTGAAACCCGCTTTCCTACATCTGTGTTTCCTTTGCTTCTTACTCTTCATCCCTTAACAGTAACTTCAGCTTCTCCCAGATATTCCTTATGATATTGCAGCTGAAGCAGCACCACCACTTTTGGTGGCTGCCCATGAACTGGCCAGTGTGCATATGCTGCCTCACCAGACACAATGACATGGGTATTATGGATATGTACTGCCTGGATTTCTCTTGGTGGAGGTATTTGTTTACCCCTCTTGCCTGTGCCTGACCATGGATTTTCTGAAAAGCTGTACAAATCTAATTATCTTTGAGACTTTCACCCATCTTTCAAATCTACTTGAAATAAGCCAGAGATTTCCATGGCCCTAAGGGAGACATGGACAAATAGGTGAACTGACAAGAAACTTCGCCCCTAAGGCTTATTTCCTTAGGGGAGATATTTAAAAATCAAATCTAAATTCAGTGTTTTAAGCACTTATGGTACCTATGTAAGCTCAACTCAGCACACAAACTTTAAACCAACAAATCGTTCTCAGGAGTTTTACAACTGGATTTTTACCAGTACTTGAATCTTCCTTCGATGTCTGGTTTTTTGTTTGACTTTTTTTTTTTTCCCCTGTATGGTGAATATTATGGATATTCTTGTTTGTGTGTAAATTATACTTTAGTTTCTTACGGTAATTTTGCTCCTTATATGTATTAGTCATTATGATGTGTCTAATCAGAGGAACGTGGAGTCACTTTGCGTCGTCAGAATCAAAATGACTGTATGGCATGGTTTTGATTTTGTTTTGCCAAAGTCCAAACCTATGAATTTTCTAAAGGAGAAGTCTTTGGGATTTAGGTATTAAAAAAGGACAGGCTTGCTATACATATGGAATTAATGAAGTCCTCTGCAAAAGAAACAAGTTTTTGAAACTTAACTGTTGGTAATATTTGCATTTTATACCCCTGTGTGTGCAGAGATTAACGTAAGGCTCAACGTAACCTTAGTTGCTTGTTTTCATATTTTTATTAATTATGTGCTTTTTACTGGCTGTACTAAACAGTTAGTTTTTCTTGAGTGGTCCAGCAGCTGTAAGGCCTTTGAAAATGTTCGTTAGTGTACGTCTCACTCAATATAATGTGAACCCCCCACTGTTTTATGTAGAAGGATCTTTAGGTTACATAGTGAAGTTAGTCTACAATCTCTTTTTATTTGTGGTTTCAAGTAAACTTTTTCTTTGAGGTTTTTGCATTTTTTAGTCTCCAGCCTTTCTCACTTTAAATTTTGCTTTAGTTTGTGTTTTTCCTTAAGCTGTTGCTCTCAAAATGGTTAGCTTTCAGAAGTTTAAGGTTTTATCATTTACCAGTTTCCAAAGCAGTTTTCTAATTCTGTGGATAGACGGTTGAAAATCTGAACTCTGAAGTCTCAAATTTTCCTAGGCAATTAAAAATCACACTATATTTTGAGGTCCAAAATTTTTTATAATAATTTTCAATTTTTTAACTCTCGCATAACTGGAAAGAATGAATTGTGGCTTTCAGGAGCTGGCAGTGTAGCCCTTCTCCTTCCTCCTCTTGGTTTCCCTGTGCAAACTTACTGAAGGAACGAAGGTCTTTTTCTTCTCTTCCTCCCTCTTCCCCACTCCCAAGATCACAGTCACTGGTCAGACAGGATTTGTGCTTGGCAGAGACTACCATGTTCTTGTGAATTTACATGGTTAGGCAGCCACCATCGCTTTCTGTTCCTGGTAGATCTGCAAGTTCCGACTCTTCTCCCTCTCTGAAGGTTTTTTGCTGGGTGCTTGAGTATTGCCCATGCAAGTTCTGTGCAGAACTAAATCCTAATCATTACACTGTACTGTTATCATCTAGTGGCAATGAAATGACTGGAAAACAAACACTGAAACACAAGGCAGCTGATGAAGTTTCTGTCCATCACTAAGTCACAAGCTTTTAAGGACTCTCTTTTCTCTTTCTTTTGTCCATAGAGTGTAATACTGAATTTCTTACATATATCCACAGCTCAGGACCAACAGTATAATTGTAATACTTAAAAGTTAGCACCAATTGATTTTAAGAACCTTTTGCATGTTAGTATTTTTACTGCTCCAGTGTCCAGGAATATATTTTGCCAACATCTTAACAATCAGTTTTGGGGCAGGAACAGATATAGTTAAGTCAAATATGAAACCATACAATTGTAATTGTCATTATGTCATGATAATAGTGGCTTTTCCCATATACACACTTTGATTTTTGCAGGTAAAAAGTTTTTATCTTTCTCTATATCTGTGTGTATGTGTGTGTATAAACACTAAGCTGAACATTTTTCTTGTGAGTTTTTAGTATTGCCAATAATCATACACTAAAAATTTCATTTCAGGTCATAACAATAGGGCTTTTCATAGGTAATTTGAAGGATAAATCAGTAATTACGCATTTAATTGGCTAATAAATCATGGCACGTTTCCCTTATTTTCTGTAGTGCTATGCTAAATCTTTATAATGTGGCCTGGTGTATTTTTGTAAAAAAGAAAACTAAATGGCTTGTTTAGTGTATGTACAGTGCACAAGTGACATAAATATGTAAAGCCTTCTAAGGTGTTTACTATGTTATATGAGAAGTCCCTGTGATTACATACCTACGGATTTTATGAATGTACATTTTAAAGGAGGTATTGAAGTTTTAGATTTTACACTACATCATGTATATATTTAGTATGTAAACAGCAAGAAGGGAGCTTGCTCAAGCTAAAACAAATTTACAAAAAACCCTGCAACAGAACTTTCTGAAATATATGCACTTGTGATTGTTATAATATCAAATCTCAGATTTTTATAGTTAATTCTGTTAATTTTCAAGGTGGCTATTTAGTTATGATTTTTTTTTTAAATGGTGAATGGGAGATTTATTTAAATGCTTTAAAATTTGAGAGAGGTTTTAGGTAGCAGAATCTCTGCGCGTGATTTCTATCACTGCTGCAGGTTACTTCATTTCCTTACGAGTTAGGGCGTGGGGTCATTTGATACATTCGTTCCTATTTAGAGGTTGAATTTTTACAAAAATATTTAATGAATAAAATAACGTTAACATTGCCACAATTCAATGATGAATACAGATCGCTTTAGATAAAAAAAGAATGAAATGTAGACGTAGACAGACCTTTTCCTAAATCCCTTCTTGCCTGTGGAAAGGCATCGGTCATTTTATTGTTTGCCTGCGTGTGAGGAAACTGGAGAGGAGGGTTGTTAAAATAAAAATTAGGATTCACATAACTGATCTGAAAGAATTTAAGGCATGAGGATTAATTCTCTCATCTCAGTGGCAAGGTCATTATGCAAAGTCACCAAAAATTTTCCTTGATTACTCTTTAGGAATCAGTTAAGCAGAATTTCAAGACTCTTCCATTTATGTACATGTTTGCAAACCAAATTTAACTGGATTTTGAGTTTTTGTGAGAAGGGGAATACAAATATGGCTGATGGTAATTCCAGTGCAGTATACTTTGTACTTTCATCTGTAATGTCAAAAAGATTGTGGATAGTGCACACTTCTGTCTAGGTGATTGTATGCATGAGGGCAAGTGGCAAATACTGACTTTGTCTAGGAGATTTCTAAATAAAATGAAATTTTTCTGAGTGTGTATTTCCATGTCACCTGATCCCTGGAATAGACTCTAAATATTTCTATAATACAAGTTTGTTTTGAGGGAGAAAGGATAAGGTTTTCTTAAATCTAAATTGTTTTATAAAGCAATTTATAACAATAAATAACAATTTATTGTGGAATAACAATACCAAGATTTATATTAATATAAAACAATGTTTCTGAATAGATTTTAGTATGTGTGCATACATGCTAAGAGAAGTAGTAGACATACTCTATTATTACATTTAGTTTAAAAAAAAAAATCCATCAGTGTGGGGTGGCTGCATAAATGTCCATTACTTTGATGTTTTGTTTAATTATAAAATATCCAGTTGAATTTATTTACATCCTGGGGGAAAAAAAGGTATTTAGAGAATTGAGGGTGTTGTAAATTGAGGGATTAACAAATGGTTTCTAGCATTACATTAGTAAACGTTTGGAATATTCTGCATTAAGGTTGATATACTCAACCTAAAGCACTCAGCCATCCTCTGTGCCACTCCCCAAATTAAATACAGCAGTAACTCAATAGGACCAGTCAGAGAAGTTCATCTTACTTTGGATTGTTTGGTAGTAAGCAAGCATACCCTGTCTAATCCTTATGTGGCAAGAATTCTCTTGTCAGGTTGTCACAGAAAAAACGTTTTTGAAATATGACTGTTTGTGATTATCCTAGATTTTTCTTGAAACAATAACAAAGTAGAGAATAAGTTCTTTCCAAGGAGTGCTACCTATTTTTACTTTGATTCTCACAATTTTCTTAATATAATTTATTTCAAACCCCATGATAGTTGGAGGACAGACCCGGAACTGAATCTGGAACTGAAACCCAAACATTTGATTAAACAAAATTATAACTTCCTGAACCTTTTTCCACAAAGGTGTAAAGGAAGACGATTGCCCCACGTTCAGTTATCACATAAGTCATAACAGAAATGTGATACGTGGCTTCAGTAATTTGTAAATGGGGCAAAAAAAGATATTTCTGTTCAGAAATACAGTCCACCACAGCCATATTCCTCCTGATGAACAGTGTGATGAATAACTGTTTTCCATTTGCCCACTATACCAGTCTTGGAAATGTCACATCACTGCCAAATTATTTTCTATGGGCACAGTATTATGTTGTGTTTTATTCTGTTACAATATGATGGAAGAGAAGTGTAAAGAGAGCAGGAGTCAATCATTAAGAGACACATTTTAAGCAAAGATCATGTCTGTTCTTTAATTGACAACACTGCAGTAACATTTATAGATACAGAATACTGTTACATTTTGATTGTATTTCAGGTTCCTTTTCTTCACTCGTGACTTAGAAGTTCCTGGCAAATCTGAATCTACAAAATAAATATAAACCACACTGCAAGGATGGGTCCCTCAGAGAGAGAGCGAGAGAGGAGAAAATGATTTAATGCAATAATGATTTTAGCTATACACAGGCATCCCTTTTTTGTCTCTATTTGTTAAATTACCTGACGTCTACATGTGTAACTTAAACAAAATTTTGTTCTCCAGTCTTTCTTCCTTTTGAGCTATCTTCTCAAGGAGAAGGATGATGAATGGAAACATAAACATAGCATGAGAATGTGAACTAGTTCCCAAACATTTCAGTGGTTTTTATAAACAACTGGTCATTGTTACCTTTTGCTGGATTACAGTTTCCTTTAGAACAACAGTGCTCTTCAGCTGCATTGCAAAGTTGATTCTAAATGTTTTTGCATAGTTGCTTAAAGGCTTTAATGTTTAAATAATGGTTATATAATTATACATTGTTTAAACAATTAGCTTTTAAGTCTAGCAATGAGCTCACGTTTTATACACATACTACCAAAAAATGATAATGAAACTGCATTTTAAAGATATGAACTGACGTTGGAGTGAGCAACCATAGTTTATGGACACTTGTTTCGATTTTAAAATCTGATTTTTAACATGCTCGTTTTCAATTGTAACATAAATAGTGATTCCTGCTGTTCTCCTGGGCCGCCCTGTGAAAACAGGCATGGTCAGCCTCAAGTTTTTCACCTTCTGAACCCCATTTTCAGCATTCCTGGTGTCCTCTTCTCCACAATAGGAAGTGCCGGTTTGTGTCTCGCTGGTCTACGCAGATAAAAAGTGTTGTCTGAGGTTTGAACTGAGTGCCTTGGAGGGGTTGGATTAATATCACAGTGTGTTAGTTGTCCCCTAAGACATCGTGGCAGCTCTTGGTTTATATTTTGAAACAAGCAAAATTACAACAATTGACACAATTAATTAAGATAATGCTTAGTATTTTAAGTTTTAAAAGGTCTTCTCATATTTTGGGCCCACTATTTTTGCTTAAGCTATGTTTTGGTTGCCTTTTTAAAATAACACAGTATTGCATTTTTAGTCTTCTTGAACGGCATTCATGGAATGATTAAAATAGGAATTTTTTAGATGTATAATAGTCTAATACAGTAGCAGAAAGTCTAAGGATAGAAAAATCACTCTTTAAAAGTGAAATACATTTTATCTGTTTTATAGAAGCATTTTAGAAATCCTGTTTTATAGTCGCACTACATTTTCATTTTAGATACTGTAGATTTGTAACGACTTTCTAATTTATACAATTTTTGTTTCATTGTCAAAACATTTAATTATATCATGTCTTGAAGGTGTAAAGCTGTCAAATAAATCAGAGGCTCGGTATAAACATTTGGTGAATTGCTTTTGCTACCATACTGTAGTTGTTACTGGGCAGTTAGTGGAACTTTTTTAAAGCGTTTACTCAGCAGGTACAGGACAACACTGGTACAATGAATTGCTGATTGCTTGTAAAACAGCAGGTAGTAATGCCCTCACTCTTTGTAACTCTGCTTTGTAAAATCAAGTGCTAAGAATAGCGTGGCAGAGAGAGCCAAGGCACAGCGAATATGATTCCTGCCTAAGGGCTGCTGGAGATTGCCAGTCTTATTTAAAAAAAAAAAAAAAAAGGTATGTGTAATTGTTACTGTTTTCCATAGCATAAAAAAATGAAGTTCCCACCACTAGAGGGAAGGGACCGCCTTCATGCTTTGAAAAATTTGGCAGCACGGGGAATGGAAAGGCTGGATTTCTGGATGAAGGCCTTAATAGCCATATTAAAATAAAATAAAATAACCAAAAAAAACTAACAAAAAAAAAATTCAGCAACTTGCAGGTGGTTTGAAAATGTTTAACCTCCTCAAACAGGACAAGCCTTTTTTTTTTTTTTTTTTAACCAATATTTTGTCGCGGTGTCAGTACAAACTGCAGGGCTGCCCAAAGCCGGGCTTGGATGAAGTAAATTAGTTCTACTTTGAAGCTTTTCTTCTCTGCCCCTTTCAGAGTGAATGGGGAGGCCCTGGGCTGAAAGCTGCTTTTCATTAGTGCCCCCACATACCTATTTGAAAGGAAGAGCTCTCTTAGCACACACAAGCACGGGGGTAAAGGAAAGCTTCCTCTCTCGGCCACAAGCCCGTCGGCTGCACGGCTCCTCGCCTCTCTTTCCAGTCAGGTGGTTCCCAATCAGAGTTAATTACTCCGGTCATTTATTCTAATCGCCCTCCCTCGGTGGCGGGGTGGCACCGTTTGAAGCGGGCCGGGTTTGAAAGCCGCCGCAGGGTCCCCGGCAGCGGCTTATTAGCGCGGCCGGGCGCTGGGGCTGCTCCGCCGGGGACACCCAGCGCCCATTAACCCCTTCCTTCCCCTCCCCACTCTGCCTGCGGCAGGGAACGGGGCTCCGGTGTCCCGGCGCTGGGATGCGGGGCAGGGCCGCCGGTGCGCTCCCCGGCAGGCGGGAGCGGCGCTTTGCCGGCTGTGGCATTCCCGGAGTGGGGACCGCCGGCCCCGCGGGGAAGGGCATCCCCAGCTGCCTCACCCGCCATTTTATATTGTTGCCAAACGCTACCAAAGGGTTTCTTTGCTGTTCGGCATTTACCTGGAGTGATTAAACTAAAGGGTAGAGTTGAAAATACAGAGCTGGTTTCCCATCATACGCTCTTCGGGGTGGTGCTCTTGAAGCTTTGGTGATGGAGGTTGGAGGAGGTATCCACAGCCCTGAGGTGACAGAGGTTGAAGGAGATAGTGATGGCACTGAGGTGATGGAGGCTGGAGGAGATAGATACCTGCATCTGTGAGATGACAATTGTTGGAGGAGGTACCTGCATCCCTGAGATGACAGTTGTTGGAGGAGGTACCTGCATGCCTGAGGTGATAGAGGTTGGAGGAGGTACCTGCATCCCTGAGATGACAGTTGTTGGAGGAGGTACCTGCATGCCTGAGGTG